AAATTCTAAGGGTTGTAAAGGCGTTTTTTGGGAAGAAGTGAGGTTGCTATTTATAGTCAAGAATAGGAAGTAGTAGCTGAGTAATCATTTGAACAACTTTGACACGGATTAAAGGTTCTAATAGTAATCAGCCCATACTTACAAGTGATTAGAACAGTTATCCAGTACAATTTTGTTTTTTTTTTTTTTGCTACTTAGAATTCTTTGTTTTTCTAATTATTATTTCCAGAAATGATATGCGTTATCTTACTTGTTTATAAGTTTCTATGTTTGATAATTAATCTATTTTGTGCTTGTCTTTTCTATTTCTGTTTGTTGTTGCCTTTTAAAAATCACAAACAGTAGTTGATAGTCATCTACTTCCCTAAGTAATGTCAAGTTCAAACAGTTACAAGCATGGGTTGCAAAGATTTAGTCTTCTTAATTTGAGGGGATAGTACAACATATAAATAATATAATAACACAAATAGCTGTAAAGTTATGTGAGTAAAGATTTTAAGTGGTTGTGAAGACTTCTTATGTAAGATACCATTCAATTTTTTAAATAATAAAAGATTTTATGTGGTCTTTCATCTATCAAGTACAATTTATGATGTCCTTTAAGTAACTTTCTTTTGTGCATGTGACTATGTGAAGTGCTTGCTTCTATAGTAAGTAAATTGTATATATTTGTTTCCAAATTGTAATATGTACAAACTGTGTAGAATAACCTTTAGTTCAAAGGTGTTGTTAGTTATAATTGAATTAACCACAATTCATTACGGAATGCGGTAACGCTTTGCGTTCTACTTAAATTGGCAAAACCATTAGTATACGACTTGTTTTACAAATGCATTTACAATTCGAAGTTTTAATAGCCAACCAAAAATGTAGGTTCATGGCCTAATATATGGTGTCAAGTAAGTAATGTAAATTCTTAGTCAAGGATGATAGTAATGCATGTATAGTATTGAGCTCAATATTATATTTTGCTACTTTGGATTTTGGAATGTGATTTAAATGCAAGGTAGACTTAAAAATAACCATATGTATTACTATAATTTTGTATGCAGTAAGTAGGAAATCAGAATGGTTTCTTATGGGATTATTAACTATGGAAGAGATAGAGAAATCCAAGCCACACTGAGTCATTAATTAGTTCTAGTTCTTAATAGCTCATCATGACCTTGGCTATGTGTGTATAACTATATATCTACTCTTAATGTCGATAAGTTTATAAATTATATTCCTTGGGTTATCTAGCTTTCTACTTTTTGTAACAATACTCTCTCTATTCCATATTCACAATTTTTAGAGTTCCATAGTCGTTAGGGTTTTGGTTGTTTAATTAGGTCGCTGGAAAACATTTTTCTAAATTTATTTGTACTTCGTACTTAGGTACCTCTTATTAAACCCTATTTTATATAAACCCAACATATGTGAACTGATTAGATATGAAAAAACTGTATAGTATGGAGTAACAAACTATGTCAAGGGTTAAATCTAGACTTTTTAAATTTGTCATTTAAAAAAAAAGAGTTTTCTTAAAATTGATTAAGTTAACCCACACGTGACTTGAGACTATTATCCTATCTACAATAATTAAGGAATTATTTACCCTTTTTTGTTGGGGGGGGGGGGTCTGTGACACTGTGTTGTTGAACTATTTTCTTATTATGCAAAGTTTACTTATTGAATGCCTACTTAAAAGATTGTGATATCATAAAAGTATGGCTATGTCTGTTAACAATCCTTAAAAGTATTGAGCTTGTAGATTATATGAAAAATGCAAGTTCAAGAGACTTGAAATAACCCTAGATCAAGGGGAAAAACAAAAAACCAAATATAATGAACTCTGAGTTTCAAACATTTTTTATTGTTCATTTTATCAATAATAATACTTTAATACAGTATTGGTTTCTTAAGGTGCACTAAACAACCAAGTTTATTATTTCCTTTACACCAACCACGATTCAAACATTTGATTTCATATAAATAATCTAATTTAGTTGTCCATTGCCATTTGTTTTTAAAAATGTTGTTACCTAATCCTCATTGTTGGTATATAAAGTGTAATGAATGGTTCAACACATATAAGATAGTCTTTTTCCGTGTTGATTGATCAATGACATATGAATTTATATTATGTAGATATTTGGATATGGTGCACTTCACATGGCTACAGTTAATAATTAGATTCTTTTGAAAGGTATCATTTATTATATAAAGGTACTATCCAAGCTATTGTGAGAACTCAAGTTCTAGTATTTGTTTAAAGTGTCTACCCATGGTAAAGATGGTCTGTGATGACCTTGTTAAGTCTATTATTTGTATTTGTGTTTTAGATAAGTTTTTCCATGCCTTTAGCTAATTTCTCAGCTTCTTATGTTGTTAGGCTGAAAACAATGCTATCATGAGATGGATACTCAGAATTGAAGAAGAACACAAAGATATGGCAGTATGTATACATTTCAACTTTTATGAGAAATAATTCATATATATATATATGCATATATACATATATACATATATACATATATATACATATATATGTTGCTCCCACCAACTAACTGTGTTTTTGCTGTGATTTAGGAGATTCCTGTTTTTTTTATCATATCTTATACAATCAATGTGAAGCAGCCAAGATGTTCCACGGTAGTGATGGACCAGCATGGGATATTGTTATTAGAAGAACCAAATCTGGAAATATGATCACTGGAATGTATGTCGAGGGAGGCTGGAAAGAGTTCATCTCAGATAATGATATCGAAGTTGGAGATACCTTGATGATGTACTATAAAGGTAGAAAAATATTCCATACTAAAATTTTTTCATATGATGGCCATGATAAAACCAATCTTGGTACACCAGTTACCCAAACCAGGGTTACTCGAAGGAGGCTTCCATTGTCTTTTGCAGAAATGGAAAATCACTTAAGGTTAATGCAACAACAATGTCCTTATCCATCATTTACATATGTGGTTAACCCTCTGGTTATTTTCCAAGGAATTATTGTAAGTTTCATTGTCTGTAAGCTGTAGATTTGTATATTTTCTATACACACTTGTGTATCATATTAGTATTAGCAAATTTTTAACTACTGGTTGTTTCTAAATTCTGCTGTGAAAAGGTTGTTCCAGTACCATTTGCTACAATGCATTTCTGGACAGCAGATCCATGCACAAATGTTCTTCTTCGGCACAAAAGGAAACAATGGTGTGTGGACTTAAGAGTAGTTCGAGAAGAAGGTAGCATTATATCATGTGTACTATGCAATGGTGTGAATGCGTTCTACGAACACGTGTTTGCCGTAGTTGGTTTAGGTGCTCTAGTGATTTATCAAACAGGTTTTCCTCTAGTATTTGAGGTGATGCTTGGGCCAGCATAGCTTTCCACATAGAACTGCTTTCTGGTTCACATGTTTGACTAATATATTAGCATCAATATGTATTATCTGAAGTAGTATGGGTGTGTAATAATAAAGGCGTTAAGTATTCACTACAAGATGTGGAAAATCAGTTAGTTAATGTTTAATACTTATGTAAGAAAGGCAATTATGTATTGCATCTGTATAATAGGCATGTTATGAAAAATTAATATTTATGTGTTAAGTAAGACTGCAGTATTAAATCATGCAGGGTAATGCCTTTGAAAAAAGCCAGTGTGTAATAATAGAAAGATTACAGAAATCTAACATGTATAATATAACGGAATTAAATTTTCGAGCGGCAAGCTTACAAATTCATAACAATGCTCAACAAGAAGAGTAATTGTAACTTTGTCATTATGATAGATTGCATAGGATAAGCTCAAAATTATTAGGTAGTTAATAACCTTGTGTTTTATTTTCTGTAATGACTGGTTTGCGTCATTTCAAAACTGCTTAACATGACAGGGTCATAACAGTCAAGTATGTAAGTTTCAGTCATTGTAAACATTTGACTAGCTAAACATGTAAGGTAAAAATTGTGAATAAACATCGTCAAATGTGGTCAGCAAACATTAATGTACTGCTTAAGTATAATCATTGGCATTAAAACAATACTTTGACATTCCTATAAAAGTTACATAGTTTGTAGCCTCCCAGTAACCCGCATAAGAGGTTGTATCGAATACAATGTTGAAGACAGTTGCTTTGATAAGCTACTATCTGTAGCAGAATTAAAGAGAGAATGTCACAAGTGTATTCCAGTGGAGGTGTATGCTATGGAAAAATTGGGGCTGTTTTCCTACAAAATAGCGATCCTATTGTGTTAGAAATAGTTGTCCATTAGGCTGCAGGTATGTTAGGATTTAGAGTTCAGCTCAGTTAAAAGACTCTTTAATGTACTGTTTTGAATAAGATTAATAGTAAGTGTAGAAAACTGCTTGGCATGTACATTTGATTCCAGCATTAGCAATAAGAGCAGGTTTATTGTATTAATATCATGGAATGTATATGTCTAATGGGCTTTAAAGATTTAGTAATGTTTCTAGTTTCATTGAATAACCTGGAGCATGTTGAAATGAGATTCTAGATAAAGGAAGAGCACACAAAGAACGTCTAGGCATTTAAACCACCATGTTTGATATAACATGTTCCCAAAAGCTTAAATTTTAAAGGCATAACAATAAGCATGGTAGATTGAGAAGAGGTAACCGGGGAAAAAAAAAACAAAAACAAAAAAACCCAAAAAAAGAAGGAAGCACTTTTCTGCTTTTATAAAGTATAAGACTTCCTCTATTTAAACTGCCTTCAGGTTCAGTTTACTATAAGATGTAATAGTTTCCTGAAAGGGAAGGAGATTGTGATTGTTTTAACTCGTTTTTCACAAGATAATTATTTAGATGAAAAGACCCAATTGGGTAACAATTAGATACTAACTACTGTCCTGGGTATGTCATATGTTTTAGAGGCTATAACAACTACTTACTGCTTGCTCTGTCCCAGTCAAGTCAAATACTTTTATAAGCATTTATGATATTTCTTTCTTAAGCCAATCTATCTATCTAGTAGGAATTGGAATCTTTCTCATGTCAAATTAACTATTAAGCAAATCTTTATCTAGCTCAGGTCCTAGCTACATCCAACAACCAATAACATGTTTATTTTCTGTTACAGGTCTATCATGTAGCCACCTGCATATAAATTCGAATGCACCCTATACTAATGTTCATTGATGAAAGCACTGAGTAAATAAGATAGCATACTCTAGGTGCTCAGCTATTACATCTACCAGCAATCTAATTAGATAATCTGATGATATGTTCAATGTAACATATAAAATAGTGTGGGTTCACAACAACTAACATGTCATTGAACAGTGACACCAGGCATACCTTTTCAGAACAAGCCTATATTTTGGTGGTTCAAACATTCTGTGTATATGCTAGTCATTACTGTAAATACAAGCTTTCAATATTAGTTATATACTTAAGTCAAATTGTAATTAGCCGGATCTATTCACCTTCATATAACCACAGCTTGAAAATTTTAAAAAGAATTAAAGTCTGAAGAATCTTAGAAAGAAAAATGCTATAAACTATATTAATTCTCCTGATATATGTATACATTTCTGTAAACAACTCTTTAAATGAACCAAATAGCAAAACTAAACAATCTTTGTCATAACAAACCTAGTACATTGGTGCACAATATTGAAAGCAGAAGTAACAAGAAGCAAGTTAGAAACAATTTTTTGTTCAATACGAAAAATAAACCTTGATCATGAAATTCATATTCGGTTATTAAAAATAACTGATAATTAGACTCAATACCCCAACCTGCTCTTCAATGGAGGATAAAGCTACAATACCAGAAGGTGCAGAATATATTCCTCCATATCTTCTAAGTTATAACTGCAGAATGACAGCAGAAGCACAGCAGTCAGCATGCAAAAAATAATGTACATTCACAAGATTCAGCATTACTCCATAACAATTTATAAAAATCAAATTCTACAATGTATTATCAAGAAGAGTAGAAGAATCAAATGAATACATGAACCGCATCACGTGAACACCATGATTAATGGTGGATTTTCCTTGTTTTTTGCCTTAGGATTCCTTCATCCTGTCAATATATAACTATGAACTATCAGCTGTCTTCTTAAATATATAAAACTTGTTTAATTTCAAAGAAACAAAAGGGAACATACTTTGAAGTCCTACTCTAATGCTCTGATTAAAAACAGATATTTATGTCTCTTCTTCTATATTATGATGCAATACACCTGCAAACCTCAACACTTCAAAAGCCACTACATTTTGTACAGTGTTTTGAGGGTGTTGATCTGGAGGCTTAGCATAAAAGACAACAACATCTGCTGCCTTTTTAGCCCTTGACAAAGCAACATATAGCTGACCATGAGAAAAACATGGGCGTGGAAGATGTATAGACACTTGATTAAGAGTTTGCCCCTGAGATTTGTTTATTGTCATTGTAAAGCTTAACTTGATGGGAAACTGTTTCCTTTCAAATTGGAAAGGATAATTCATAGAACCAGATGGTCTTAAATTGATTCTGTGGATGAAAACATGATCTCCTTTGTACTGTCCTGTAGCAATTACACATTGGATAACGTTTGGGAAAAACCTCTTACAAGTAAGACGGGTGCCATTGCACAAACCAGACGAAGGTAAAAGATTCCTTAAAAGAATTACCGGACAGTTCTCCTTCAGCACAAGCTCATGAGGGCTCATTCCTCCTGGGCACAAGCTATTCATGAATTTCGTAGGATATATATTACATGTATCATTCAACATGATATCAAAACTCTTGTATATAACAGCTCTGCCTTCAAATTTTTCTATCATGAATGCATTAATCGAATCCACTTCATCGTTTAATGGTGTTAGGATTGCTCGATCAATAAATCTATCAGTACCAAGGTTACCTTGCATCATTTCAGGGAACGTTGCTTCTATGAGATCAGATATGAAATTGTTTCCGGATTCACAAAATTGAGCTACTTGGTCTAGAATCTGTACATACGCTTTTTCTGAATTCTGTAGCTCACCATTACCCAAGGCAAGCAAGAACTCAGAGTATGTTAAATCTTCCCGAGCTCTAATATTTTCTATCAACCTGAACCTTATGAATTTAGGCCATAAATATGATGTAACAATACTGGTTTCAACTGCTTCTTTCATTGATATATGAGGAACTACTGGCAGAACTTGCCTAAAATCACCTCCAAACACAACAGTCTTACCTCCAAACATGAGTTTATTATCACACACATCCTACAATAGTAAATCCAAAGACTCAATATTCTGTTTCTTATCCATTGAAGCCTCGTCCCATATTATCAGTGATGTTTCCCTAAGTAATGCTGCTAAACTACCCTGTTTAGGAACAGCACATGCCAGAGAAGCATCACTATCAAGTGGGATTTTAAACCTTGAATGAGCTGTACGTCCCGAAGGTATGTTCGATGCAGCAATACCTGATGTTGCTGTCGGCAACACAATCTTGTTCATTAGTCTAAGCTCTGCATACAATGCATTGTATAAAAATGTTTTCCCAGTTCCTCCCGGGCCATCTATGAAAAAAGCACCTAGTTTCCCATCCATTACATATTGCATGATACATGAGAAGGCAGCATTTTGTTCATGGTTCAATCTAGAACGACATGTAAGAATTTCTGGTGGAATAGGAGCATCAAGAGCATCCACAATATCCTTTGTTCTTCTGATCTCAGCATCAACATGAGCAATTAAATGATCCAATCCAAAAGCTGACAATGATTTCCCCATAGCTTCAAGGTACCCCTCAACAGAACGAACAGTCAAATGCTGAATCCTAAAGTCATTGTTCGCGTATTTATACCTGAAATCCTCAGACAAAAAAGGGTAGAATTTCTTCCACAAGACAGGCGGATCAGTCGTTTGACAGAAAATAAGTATTGTTGCAAATAAATGGCGTAAAGCATCAGGCATCTGGACCTCTGAAGCTTCACACAATGTTAAGTCCGCAACATTATCATTTTCTATTAGTCCCAACTTCAATGCCGCATCATAAAAAGTTGGATACACATGACCATTAACAGTTCGAAGCCCTTCAAATGAAGTTGGACTTCTGACATTAAGCAATAACAGTCGTAAGAAAAAGCGTTCCCCTTCTGCAGGATACACAAATGCCAAACGCCCAACAGAAAATAGATCTAACACTCTTTCTTTCCATTGCTTAGTACCTGCGTCCCATCTATAATGCTCACAAAATTCACCATATAAGTAGCCTGTACCACCTTCAACAGCTGCATTGACTGCAAAAAATTCAGTCAATTGAGTACGAGAACGTTTAGAATTAGCAACAACAGCACGTAGTCTTTCATGAGGATGTAAATGGACAGTTTGTTCATTAGGCAAATGAACCTGTAGAGGAAGAACGGGAGGATGCATTTCAAACAGATCAAAACTAAATATTCTCCACGCTGCTTCACAAGGGGAAACCCATCTACCTGACTGGAACTGTTTTATTTCATCAACACAGTCGGACTCACCAGGTACTATATTGAATGAAACCTTATCATGCCCCTTGTATACATATTTGTATAGGTATTTCACTGCTTTAATTGTGGAACAAACCTCAACATTCAAGTGGCAATCAAACAATGAAGAAAGATAAGGATTGTACGGGATAACCCACTGATTATCAAGGTATGTGTTACGGATCTTTACTTGTTCCCCAGTATCACGTCGTTGATAGATGGGATAGCCATCTTTGTTATTAGATGTGTCGTTTGAAAACTATTTAGGATATTTATTTTTACAAGACAACATACCACCCTTGTTACGCATGCAGGGACATTGTGGATTTAACACACCACAGGGGCCATGCATCATATGTGCAAGCACTGTCCGTCGCAAGTTACTATTGCTAACAGGAGGTATTTCAGCACACACATATTTATCATAATCAACAGGACATTTCAGCTTCCAATCTGATTTCAAGATGATCAAGAAATGAGCATGTGGTAATCCTCGTTTTTGGAACTCAACAACATACACCATTGCAGCGACTTCACCAAAAATCTGTTTCACCAATATTTCTTTCTTCAGCAACAGTATTTTGGCTCTGAATATCCTAGCTATTAAATCAGGCCGATCTTGTGCTGTTTCACCTGGGCTTAACTCAGCTTTTATTTCAGGCCAGTTAGCATTGCAAGTAATAGTGACAAATAGATCTGGTTTCCCATATCTCTGAACCAAGGCCATGGCATTTAGGTAACGTTTCTTCATGTCACGAGGTCCTCCAATAAATGTTGGAGGTAATATTACTCTACGCCCTACATTTTTAGCAACAATTTCCCCATAGTCCAATGAATCCAGAATACCTTGATATAGATCAGCCCGTATACTTTGTTGGTTATTTCAAAAGTAATCAAGCCTAGTGTTTTCAATTTTGACATGCATGTCAACTATATACTACTGGAAACACCTCCCAGCTCGCAACAACATGTTCTCAGGCCGAATTTGCAACTTGTAGGCATAATACTCTCTTGCAGAAATGAACTTATCAGCTCTAGTATTCTTTTTACACGCTCCTGCATAACAACAACATAAACAATTATTCATAATTTGGAAGATAGAAAACAAACAGTAGTACATATAAGTAATTTTAGTGTAAATGTGTCTGGAGAATGTACTTCTGTCTTCTTCATTCAACAAATCCTCAGCACTGTGCACAACACATGACATAATTGGATCTGGCAATGGAATTGTGTTCCTCGATCCACTGTGAGACTGTTTTTTTAAGCCTTGAGTCCAACCACATTCCCCACGAGGGAATAACAAAGGATACTGCAATGGGTCATAACAACCATAGTTATGGTAAATTCTATGACCAGACAGTAAGATATGAGGACTCAAAGTTTGGCTAGAAGAAGCATTTTCTGGCCATATGACCGCAACATCATCTACAGCAGGTGAATTGTAAACATGTTGGTCTAGCACTGTACTTTGATTAAGGACAATTTTGGTATCAGAAGTTACATGTCTATCTCTGAGATATCAAAAGAACACTGCATATGGATTCGGCTCTGAAACTCGCATCAGAATTTCAATCACATCTTGACGGACCTCTGGAAAGCACCTAAGCCTATTATTAGCTTCATTTTGTCCATCGTAAAAATAGAGCTGCAAATACTTTGGAGTGCCTTTATCGGGCAGTAAATCTGGAACAAAATGATACATTTGCCCGTGCATTTTAAATACATATATACCCTTGTAAGTGCTTGCATCAAAATTCCCGCCTATAGAACTAAAGGCAAACAAATTATTGTATAACCTAGCATAAGTTCTGAAGTGAACTGCATCTTCATCTTTTGACATAAACAAACGCTGCAGTTCAGAAGGGTATTCATTTGTCACTATCTTAACCTCTCCCCCACCACAACAAAAATTCAAAGTCTCAAAAGCAAATTTTTTTGTAGCGCAATGTACACATTGTGTAGGGGACGATAATTTCAGAGGCTCCATTGACAGTGGCTGCCCAGACATAGCAGCAGGAATATCTGGCATTGATACAAATTCAATTAATCCAATTAATTTCACATAATGCACAAATTCAGTATCATAGAACTAACATCCATATTAAGAAAAGTTTCTCAGCAACATACAGTGCGACTTTGGCTTAGAAGTAGATTTCCTCTTCTTCAGTACTGAACCACTACATATGAAAAACATAATTAGAACTATATGTTTATCTTAGATAACCTCTAACACTAATTTCTAAGACTTGTACCTTTTCGATTGTGACCGAGCCATATCATCGATGCTGCGTTTTTTCTTAGTTACACGTTCTCGAGGTAAATGTCTAACTCCATGCTGATTACTGAATACAATCAAATTGTGTCAACAACAACCATACAAAGCAACTACATTCCCACATACCATGTTACAATTGCATATACTTCTAGATTCACCAATGATTACCTTAAAGATTCTTGATGGCCATCAATACAATTCGTAGGAGAAACACAAACTAACTGAGATCTACACATGTGGTCATGCACATTACTATAATCTATAACCAATAAACGTCATCCCAAAAATCACCCCAGTGCACAGTTGTTTACCTATCTGAGTGCACCCCTGGCAATCCATTCAGCAGTCGATTCCTTTTTGAAACTCGTATACAAGAAGACTGGTCATCTTGTTGTTGGCTATTAATAGGCAATTATTAAAATCCAATAATTAAATTAGGGCACTCCTTGGAAGCAGAAAGCTAAGTAACATATAACAACTATGTGTAAGCATTTACCCTTGTACTGCTATTTGGGATGATCGTTGCTGAGCTCGATTAGCTCTGTTGCAACTTTTACTTGATAAATAAGGAATACCATACTGGCAATCAACCATGCTGTTTTGGATTTTTTGCTAGATTTTGCATGACAGAATACAGATGTAACCATTCTGTAAATTAGAAAGCAATAATAATACACACAGATCAAACCAGTAATTCCTTATTTTTTTTGCAAAGAACCACATACTAAAACAAAACCACTAAAATACTGGACTTTAATGTATGCGCTATAAATCTGCATCCTAACATTAGCAATATATATTGGCATGTATAGGCTAAACATTACACAATATGTATCAGTTACTATTTTTTACTGGGAAGAAGATTTGAATTACTATTTTATACCACAACGCAGAAAGGAATGCAAACCTTAAGCTAATAACTGCAAGCATTAATAATGGCATTAAAATTGCAACAAACACATGTAAATAAAGTACTATTCCATAGATATTTACATTGGAAACACCATTACAACAAAAGCGGTGGCATGCTTATAAATGCCACTCTAGTTACACTGACATTACAACCCAAATAACCAGGTTCTATAGCCTAGTAGGCCTTTCTTTTTTTCAAAATTTAAACAGAAATAAAATCAGCATCTTTTGATTGCTGTTCTACATATTTCCACAAAATAGAGCATGTCAACCCCTTACAACTGCTAAGCACTAACTAATCAGTCTTAACATTACCAAACAGCCGACCTAATTCCAACAAACCAGACGCTGCCTGATCTGAAGTACCTACCCCCACTTCCTCTTCATGAGCTATCTGCAGTAGCTTCTTTCGCTTAGCAGGAGTAGCAGACGTAGTGTTGCTGACAGGAACCGGTAACTCCTTACAAATTTGAGACACATTCTCCTCCTGAACCACATAGTTTGTGGCAACAGGAAGCTGAGATGTCTGCTCCAACCGTTCA